CAGTAGGAAGAGGAGGGTCCGTCAGCCCCGTTACCCCACAGCCAGCAGGAAGAGGAGGGTCCGTCAGCCCCGTCAGTAGGAAGAGGTGGGTCCGTCAGCCCCGTTACCCCAGTCAGTAGGAAGGAGGGTCCGTCAGCCCCGTTACCCCAGTCAGTAGGAAGAGGTGGGTCCGTCAGCCCCGTTACCCCAGTCAGTAGGAAGGAGGGTCCGTCAGCCCCGTTACCCCACTGTCAGCAGGAAGAGGCGGGTCCGTCAGCCCCATTATGTATCCATCAGTGTTAATGACTTCCTACCTGGAAAGCGTCCTCGTATTTTTGCAGCGCCTGGGCGATAGACGCAGTGGGCGGGAGCATGTACCAGAGGTGCACAGCCAACGCACGCTTCCAGTCCAGCTGTGAGCAAACATTGATGGACTTCTTATCCGATGATTGCCATACCTGAGGGGAGAGAACTTACAGTCATCCTCAGGCAAGTCACATGGCCCTCAGGCAAGTCACATGGCCCTCAGGCAAGTCACATGGCCCTCAGGCAAGTCACATGGCCCTCAGGCAAGTCACATGGCCCTCGGCAGGACTTCCGATGACCCCATATGGCCCCGCCTCATTTTACAGATCTAAGCAATGTGTGAAAAACTAAGTACACCCCTACACAAAAAGCGTGGCTCCGGGAGGCGGGGGCACAGAGCGGGCGCTGCCCTCCCAGGAGGCGGGGGCCAGAGCGGGCGCTGCCCTCCCAGGAGGCGGGGGCCAGAGCGGGCGCTGCCCTCCCAGGAGGCGGGGGCCAGAGCGGGCGCTGCCCTCCCAGGAGGCGGGGGCCAGAGCGGGCGCTGCCCTCCCAGGAGGCGGGGGCCAGAGCGGGCGCTGCCCTCCCAGGAGGCGGGGGCCAGAGCGGGCGCTGCCCTCCCAGGAGGCGGGGGCCAGAGCGGGCGCTGCCCTCCCAGGAGGCGGGGGCCAGAGCGGGCGCTGCCCTCCCAGGAGGCGGGGGCCAGAGCGGGCGCTGCCCTCCCAGGAGGCGGGGGCCAGAGCGGGCGCTGCCCTCCCAGGAGGCGGGGGCCAGAGCGGGCGCTGCCCTCCCAGGAGGCAGTGCGCTGCCCGCCAGGGGGCGGGGGCACAGAGCGGGCGCTGCCCGCCAGGGGGCGGGGGCACAGAGCGGGCGCTGCCCTCCAGGGGGCGGGGGCACAGAGTGGGCGCTGCCCTCCAGGGGGCGGGACTTACGGCAGTGCCAGATAACAGCACGTAGACCTTCAGCCTCTCCTCCTGGATGAAGCGGTCCACCTGCTGCGTCTGCCAGTCCTCCAGCTGAACGGTCATCAGTTCCTGAAGCTGCTGATTTCCCACCAACTGCGACAACATGAGGGAGAGCCGATGGTCACCTGCGGAGACACGACACGGCTCAGGGAATTGTACACAGCGCCCCCTCGTGGCAGGAGGAGTGAAGCGCTGCGTATGTAGTGCTCACCAGATCTCTGCGCCAGCCGACACGCTTCACTGATGCAGCAGCCGGTCAGGGAGCTGAAGACGGCCTCAATGGGACGTTCCTTCTGGTGAATGACAACCTCCGACTCGATTCGCTCGGCCGCCGTCTCAGCCAACCAATGAGAGAAAGCCTTCCTCCGATGTAATCTCTCCACGTACTCATTGGTCTCATCCAGGCTAGCCTCCAGGTCCCGCAGCTGCCCCCACAATGCCCTGCACATGGTCCACGTCAGGCACCACTGCTTCACCACCGCTGTGCAGGAGAGAGACACCCAATCAAATGAATGGAGGCAGCGCCGGGGTTGGGTAGGAGGAGGGGACACGGATCGGGCTGCACGGTGCTGTTCTTCAGCTCGATCTCCAATGGTATCAGATAGGAATGAAGATCTCTCCCCTTCTCCTCCAAACTCAGCTTCTGCACGTGAACCTTAAAGGAGGACTCCGCAAACCTGACAACACAGACAGACGCATTAGTAACAAGGAATCCCCCCCGCCCAGTAATATGCCACTCCCACAATGGTAAGACCTCCCCCAGTAATCTGCCCCTCCCACAATGGTGAGACCTCCCCCAGTAATCTGCCCCTCCCACAATGGTGAGACCTCCCCCAGTAATCTGCCCCTCCCACAATGGTGAGACCTCCCCCAGTAATCTGCCCCTCCCACAATGGTGAGACCTCCCCCAGTAATCTGCCCCTCCCACAATGGTGAGACCTCCCCCAGTAATCTGCCCCTCCCACAATGGTGAGACCTCCCCCAGTAATCTGCCCCTCCCACAATGGTGAGACCTCCCCCAGTAATCTGCCCCTCCCACAATGGTGAGACCTCCCCCAGTAATCTGCCCCTCCCACAATGGTGAGACCTCCCCCAGTAATCTGCCCCTCCCACAATGGTGAGACCTCCCCCAGTAATCTGCCCCTCCCACAATGGTGAGACCTCCCCCAGTAATCTGCCCCTCCCACAATGGTGAGACCTCCCCCAGTAATCTGCCCCTCCCACAATGGTGAGACCTCCCCCAGTAATCTGCCCCTCCCACAATGGTGAGACCTCCCCCAGTAATCTGCCCCTCCCACAATGGTGAGACCTCCCCCAGTAATCTGCCCCTCCCACAATGGTGAGACCTCCCCCAGTAATCTGCCCCTCCCACAATGGTGAGACCTCCCCCAGTAATCTGCCCCTCCCACAATGGTGAGACCTCCCCCAGTAATCTGCCCCTCCCACAATGGTGAGACCTCCCCCAGTAATCTGCCCCTCCCACAATGGTGAGACCTCCCCCAGTAATCTGCCCCTCCCACAATGGTGAGACCTCCCCCAGTAATCTGCCCCTCCCACAATGGTGAGACCTCCCCCAGTAATCTGCCCCTCCCACAATGGTGAGACCTCCCCCAGTAATCTGCCCCTCCCACAATGGTGAGACCTCCCCCAGTAATCTGCCCCTCCCACAATGGTGAGACCTCCCCCAGTAATCTGCCCCTCCCACAATGGTGAGACCTCCCCCAGTAATCTGCCCCTCCCACAATGGTGAGACCTCCCCCAGTAATCTGCCCCTCCCACAATGGTGAGACCTCCCCCAGTAATCTGCCCCTCCCACAATGGTGAGACCTCCCCCAGTAATCTGCCCCTCCCACAATGGTGAGACCTCCCCCAGTAGTTTGTATGTATGCATGTATGTGCGTGTGTATGTATGTATGCGTGTGTATGCATGCATGCATGTGCGTGTGTATGTATGTATGTGCATGATAACACCCATGACGTGGCCACATGGGCCTCCATGTACACTCACGATTTGGTGGTGACGGGTTTGGGCAGGAAGCCGTAGTCCATGTTCTCCATTCTTCCAGCCTTCTCGGTGGTGCCGGGCTCGGTGATGATACCGCCACTGTGAGACAAGGTCCAATTGGGCCCCCAGCCAACACGGAATGAGCGGCCCATAAACAGACCCATGTCAATCAGCATTTTGCCACGCCCAAAGCACACGGACTTCCCTGACGGTACCAGGCCTTGCTGTCTCCGGGTCCCCACCGTCTTCAGCTGCGCGTCTGGAGCAGGAGCCGGCATTAAGAAGGAAGGGGCCAGAAGGCCGAGGCCGGGCCACGGGGCCCCCGGAGAGGGGCGGGGACTTTGGCCGGACTCGCTCTGCTTGAGTAATGTGGACCCCGTGAAGCGGGACTGCAGAAGACCCCCCACTGCGGAGAAGAAGAGACCGGTCATACAACCCTGTACTGCGCACAGGTGAGCGGCTCATCTACACGCGTGTGCTTTCTAGGAGCCCAGAAAACTAACTGGGAGTTAAATAAAACATACATGCACATGCGTCCTCCAACATGCACCATACAAGACCGGCCATTGTTGAGGACCAGGAGCCGTCCACTCCAACCTCAGAACACATCTTTATATGTCTACGTGTACACAATGGGCAGAGACCCCGTTACCGGGCAGCCGTGACCGCACAGAGCCTGGCAGCCCCCTGCCGGTGTCCATACATCCCCTGACCGGTGATGGAGCGGGGTCCCTGGATGTATGGACACCGGTGATGGAGCGGGGTCCCCGGTCAGGGGGGATGTATGGACACCGGTGATGGAGCGGGGTCCCCGGTCAGGGGGATGTATGGACACCGGTGATGGAGCGGGGTCCCTGGATGTATGGACACCGGTGATGGAGCGGGGTCCCTGGTCAGGGGGGATGTATGGACACCGGTGATGGAGCGGGGTCCCTGGTCAGGGGGGATGTATGGACACCGGTGATGGAGCGGGGTCCCTGGTCAGGGGGGATGTATGGACACCGGTGATGGAGCGGGGTCCCTGGTCAGGGGGGATGTATGGACACCGGTGATGGAGCGGGGTCCCTGGTCAGGGGGATGTATGGACACCGGTGATGGAGCGGGGTCCACGGGCAGGGGATGTATGGACACCGGTGATGGAGCGGGGTCCCCGGTCAGGGGATGTATGGACACCGGTGATGGAGCGGGGTCCCTGGTCAGGGGGGATGTATGGACACCGGTGATGGAGCGGGGTCCCTGGTCAGGGGGATGTATGGACACCGGTGATGGAGCGGGGTCCACGGTCAGGGGATGTATGGACACCGGTGATGGAGCGGGGTCCCCGGTCAGGGGATGTATGGACACCGGTGATGGAGCGGGGTCCCTGGTCAGGGGGGATGTATGGACACCGGTGATGGAGCGGGGTCCCTGGTCAGGGGGATGTATGGACACCGGTGATGGAGCGGGGTCCCCGGTCAGGGGATGTATGGACACCGGTGATGGAGCGGGGTCCCTGGTCAGGGGGGATGTATGGACACCGGTGATGGAGCGGGGTCCCTGGTCAGGGGGATGTATGGACACCGGTGATGGAGCGGGGTCCCCGGTCAGGGGATGTATGGACACCGGTGATGGAGCGGGGTCCCTGGTCAGGGGGGATGTATGGACACCGGTGATGGAGCGGGGTCCCTGGTCAGGGGGATGTATGGACACCGGTGATGGAGCGGGGTCCCTGGTCAGGGGGGATGTATGGACACTGGTGATGGAGCGGGGTCCACGGTCAGGGGATGTATGGACACCGGTGATGGAGCGGGGTCCCTGGTTGTATGGACACCGGTGATGGAGCGGGGTCCCTGGTCAGGGGGGATGTATGGACACCGGTGATGGAGCGGGGTCCCTGGTCAGGGGGGATGTATGGACACCGGTGATGGAGCGGGGTCCCTGGTCAGGGGGATGTATGGACACCGGTGATGGAGCGGGGTCCCCGGTCAGGGGGGATGTATGGACACCGGTGATGGAGCGGGGTCCCCGGTCAGGGGGGATGTATGGACACCGGTGATGGAGCGGGGTCCCCGGTCAGGGGGGATGTATGGACACCGGTGATGGAGCGGGGTCCCCGGTCAGGGGGGATGTATGGACACCGGTGATGGAGCGGGGTCCCCGGTCAGGGGGGATGTATGGACACCGGTGATGGAGCGGGGTCCCCGGGGCCAGGGGGGATGTATGGACACCGGTGATGGAGCGGGGTCCCCGGGGCCAGGAAGTCGGATGTGGAAGCTGTACACGCCTATCTCACCAATGGCCTAACCCTAAGGATCTCCGGGTAGAAGTCGCTGGTTGTACCACGCGGACCGGACTTGGTTGCTACGGGTTACGGCACTTTGCGTCACACGAGAAGGAATTTCTATGTGCGGTTCTGGTGCACTTACCGCTGGAGGTCCGCTGGGCCTGCGAGGAGGGGTGGAGGAGTCGCGGGGAGCGCACTTCCTGGGAGGTCTCCAGTAATGACGGGTAATGGGAAAAACGCGTCAGGCGATCACCGCCGCCATCTTCCTCAATCTGAAGAGCCGCCTTCATCACCTGACAAAGAGGAACACCAATCAGAACAGGTGAGCGGCACAAGGACTACACGGGGGGAGAGGCCCTCCCTACAGGCAAGGCACCAAGAACCAACCCTAGCCCAATGACTCCTCCCCCCATCTCTGCC